CGCCGCCGCCGCGCAGCCCCTGGGCGCCGGGTGCTGGTGCTGGTGCAGCTGCTGCTGGAGGTGCAGCTGGTGGAGCTGGTGGAGCTGGTGCAGCTGGTGCCGGGCGACAGGTTCGCGCGCCTCCGCGTCCCCGCCGCCGCCAAGTTGGAGCGGGCCGAAGTCGGCCGCGCTGGCCGGCATGCCCGGCGCCGCGTACGCGAGGTGCTGGTGCTGGTGGTGGGGCGGCTGCTGCTGTTGCTGCTGCTGCTGCTGGCGCCGGTAGAGCTCGGCGTAGCGCTCGCTCAGGTAGAGCTGGCGCGCGTTGCGGAGCACGTAGGACACCAGGAGGTTCTTGTGCAGCTTGATGCCGCCGCGCTGGGTCCGGGAGCTGTGGATCTTGCGCAGGGAGATGCTGATCAGGCTCTGGGCGTCCAGGGCGCACTCCATGCTCCCGCGGAGACGGCGGCGGCGGAGCAGCCGCGACCGCTGCTGCTGCTAATGCTGCTGCTGTTTCGGCCTCCAGCCGGCCTCCGGGACGCGCTGGTCAGTGGAAACGGAGTCCGGGTCAGCGGGTCGGCTGCGCTCCGAGAGGAGCCGCCACCATGCGCTGCGCGCCACCCGCGGGACCGTGCTCCCCAGACGGCGCCAAAGCAATGAGCCTCGGCCGGCCCCGGCCCCAGCTATTTAGCCGGGCGTCTGGGCCCCGCCCCACACCGGATGAGCCAATAAGAGTGCCCCAAACCTCCCGAGTGACAGACGCTACCCGCCCCGGGGCCACTAGACTGGCCAATCAGACCAAGGCGGTTCCTTTGTGCTATTCAAATACCGAACGGACCCCGGGCCTCCAACGCCGCCGCTGCCTCGAATGTTCTCCTGTGGCCGCGGCGCCGCGCGGGACTCGGAGCCACCGAGGCCGCTGTCTGCGACATGGGTCGCCTCGCAGCCGCCACGTTGGAGCCCGCGGCCGCCCTCGGCCTGGTTCCTGGGAGCCGGGGGTCGGCTCACCTGCGTGCTGCTGCTACGGCTCCTCCCCCTTCCGCACGGCTGGGCCTCACCTGCGGCAGGTGAGCGCGGCTCCCACTCCCGGCCACGCGGCACCTCCTTTCTTACCTACCGCCCCCGGGTGACCCGCGGGACGCAAGGTTTTTGCAAGAGACTAGTGGGGCCGCCGGCTTGACCTTTGGGGACTCCTCAGGAGAAAGAGATTTCGAGGTACCCTCAGCCGCCGAGTATGCTGGGCCTGACTCCTTGACTTTTTTGGCCGAGGAGATTCAGAGAACACTCGGGGAAGGGCCGGCCTCCCCATTTGTCTGACGGGAGAAACCAAAACGGTGAATTTTGGTCTCCTCTGATAGAGGAGGCTTGGAGGCGTGCCGCTCGCAAACCGCTGAGGTCTAAAGGCGCTCCGAGAGCTGCCATCCAGTGTCCTAATCACCGGTTCTGTAAACTTTCCTTGCCTTCCTAACTAATAATAATGACACTAGGGACTCTTATTAAGTGCCTAAGACGGGGCCGGCCCTGCCAGAAGCGCCCTGACTCCCTCCCTGTGACTGCAGGCAGAGCGGGGACCTGAGTCTCTGAGGAGTGGGGTGACTCATGGGAATCCCACAGCTCCTAAGAGGCAGGGCTCGGATTGGTACCAGGACTGTGAGCTCCGGAACGGAGCGAAAACCAAGGGCCGAGGCACTCGCCCGCTTAACTTTCGTTGACACTTTTGTTTTCCTTCTTGTCCTGAACCATTTACGGGCCACCTCCTCCCAGCTGGGGCCTGGTATGGTGGGGACGATCTCCAGGGCGCTCTCTTCCTGGACTGGGAAGCCTGAAAGGGGTTGACTGCTGCTCAGAGGGAGGCGGGGGGCGTCCAAGGCTCCTGCGTGGGAGGGTGTCTTTGAAGTGGTTTGCCTGAGGGTTGGCCCCTGAAGGAGGAAGAGGCTTCACAGAGAGTATGAGGGCTAGGTGGGCCTTGGGGGCAGTTGGGGGCGGGGCTGGGGGTGGGACGAGGTCCCAGGAGCAAACTTCCTGCGCTTTCCCCCTCTCCTTGGGATTTCTTCTGAGTTTCCTCTCTCGTTGGGCCTGTTGTCCATCCCTTGGCAGGAGTAAAGAGACCCAGCCAGCCCATTCTGTACTTTCTGGGTCTCCCCTCAGACTTAAGAATTCTCCAGGTTTGTTTCCTCAAACAATTTTTCAGCATCTACTCAGTGCCAGGCATCAAGGGTAAAAACAGATTTAGGGAGCACGTACCCCACTTTTCAGATGAAACTTGGGACCCTGACAGTGGAAGGGACTTGCCTGAGGTCCCACAGCTCCAGATCCAGTGCTCTGGCCTTTCCGTGCCATCTGTGAAGAATCTCAAACTGGTCTGAGCCCCTGTGATCAGAAGCACCTCTTCTGCCCCCACCCAGAGAAGCCAGGATTGACATTTTAGGGGAACTGTGAGAAAGGTCATCTTACTTCTATACTATTGGTGATCTGGTGATAGGAACGCACAGGAGTGGAACTTGACCTGTAAGGATGAAAATATACTGCTCCTTACTTCCCCAGGGCCTGTCTTGACACACAAAGCCTTCGTTCGTTTATTTATTTGTTTTCTTAAAATAAATTTATTTATTTTATTTAGTTTTGGCTGCGTTGGGTCTTCGTTGCTGTGTGAGGGCTTTCTCTAGTTGCGGTGAGCGGGGGCTACTCTTCGTTGCGGTGCGCGGGCTTCTCATTGCGGTGGCTTCTCTTGTTGCGGAGCACGGGCTCTAGGCACGCGGGCTTCAGTAGTTGTGGCACGTGGGCTCAGTAGTTGTGGCACGCGGGCTCTAGAGTGCAGGTTCAGTAGTTGTGGCGCACGGGCTTATTTGCTCCGCGGCATGTGGGATCTTCCCGGACCACAGATTGAAACTGTGTCCCCTGTATTGGCAGGCGGATTCTTAACCACTGCGCCACCAGGGAAGCCCCCATTCGTTTATTTTTGAAGTTCACCTTTGAGATATCATTAGCATGTGGAGGGAAGCGGGAGGTCCTATCTGGTTCTACCGTCACGTCTGGGACCCATGGCGTCTGGCACATTGCAAGATTCCAAGAATGTAATTTTTTTTTTTAACATCTTTATTGGAGTATAGTTGCTTTACAATGGTGTGTTAGTTTCTGCTTTATAACAAAGTGAAACAGCTATACATATACATATGTCCCCATATCTCCTCCCTCTTGCGGCTCCCTCCCTCCCACCCTCCCTATCCCCCCCCTCCAGGTGGTCACAAAGCACCGAGCTGATTCCCTGTGCTATGCGGCTGCTTCCCACTAGCTATCTATTTTACGTTTGGTAGTGTATATATGTCCATGCCACTCTCTCACTCTGTCACAGCTTACCCTTCCCCCTCCCCATGTCCTCAAGTCCATTCTGTACGTCTGCATCTTTGTTCCTGTCCTGCCCCGAGGTTCTTCAGAACCTTTTTTTTTTTTAGATTCCATACATATGTGTTAGCATACGGTATTTGTTTTTCTCTTTCTGACTTACTTCACTCTGTATGGCAGACTCTAGGTCCATCCACCTCACTACAAATAACTCAATTTCAGTTCTTTTATTGGCTGAGTAATATTCCATTGTATGTACGTGCCACATCTCAAGAATGTGTTATTAATGCTGATTTTGGACCTTCATTCTGTGCTTGCTGAGAATTTGTTGGGGGAAACTAAGACTTTGAGTATATGTGTCTTGTTCAAGGTCACTCAGCCAAGAAGAGGTCGAGGCAGGATTTGAACCCAGGTCTGTTTCCAGGATTGGAACTCACTTTAGGTTCTTTGAAATCAGCTGCTTGCTTCTGCCTTGGGTGGATCTGAGTCCAGTTCTCAGGGCTCAGCTCATGGCAAACGTAACCTTGACTTCATCAACACCCCACCACTATCCTGACAACTGCTGTGAGACCAGGGCCTGCAGGATCCGTGAAGGAGCAAATCTCTCTCCAAGCTCAGCTCATCATTGACAGCCATTCTCAGAGCTGCACCCCCTAACCCTGGGGGTCCAGATGGGACACCAGGTAGGGATGGAAATGGATTCCCTAGCCACAGGCTGGGGGCAGGGGAGCCAGCCCCCGCTACTTAGCCTCTGTCCCAAGGTGAGTTTGAGCTCTGCTAAGGCTCTTCCACTCCCTGGAGTCAGCTGAGAAGTGGTCAGCCCCGTCTGCGTGGCCCCATTCTTTGGGCCCTCCTGTCTGGGGCCCGCATTCACTTGGTCTCCCCTTCCTCTCAAGAATCAAGAAGTGGCTAGTGGGGAGGGCTGAGCAGTTGTCCAGATTAATAAAACCCTTGATCTTTTTGGGGGTGGCCTGGACGGGGGATTTGCTGCAGCTGTCGTAAGAAAACACTTGCTGCAGGAGGCAGTGGAACAGCTGAGCTCTTTGGTGCCCCTGGGAGTAGTGAAGATTGGGGGGCACACAGTAGGAATTCACAAACGTTTATAGAATGGGTGGGTCACACATAAGGCTTCTGTTCGGATGTTCAACGGCTCAGGGCAGGGTACTACAGACCGTCCAGGGCATCGGGTGAATACGTGTGTGTATGAGTATCTGCGTGCACACGTGTGCAGGGGGGCAGGTTTGAGTGAGACCAGGCTTCTTGGAATGAAGGGCTGGCCTTATTGGTCTGGGCACCTGAGAAAGGTTGGGGCGCTCACCTTTTCCCCCCTGGAGCTGGGAGATTACATCAGGCCCTGAGTCACCGCTCCCTGGAGGAAGTTAATTAATGCCTAAATATTTACCGAGGGTCGGCTGGGACAGTGTGGAGCAGGGCACAGAACCTATCGGGACCTGGGCTCCCGTCAAACCCCAGGTGGTGTCAGCCCCACAGTGGAGCCGTGAACACCTTGAAACTCCACATATGCCTGTGGGCACCTTTTGGTCGCCCAGTTCAGAAGCGGGAGACATGCCAGGAAGGACCCTGGTCAGCTTTGAGACTTGCCTGGTGGGTTCCCAGGGATTGGTTTGGCGAAGAGGATGCAGAGACAAAAGGTTAATTGAGGGTTTTGTATTGGGAGGAGGGGGAAGGGGGAGAGAGATTTGGAATTGACATATTCATTCCTTTGTTCAGTGGCCCAAGAGGTATTTCCAGAACACTACTCTGGAATTCCTGCAAATGGGTCGGGGGAACAAGGCGTGATCCTGCCCTCAGGAGGCCACAATTCAGAAGGAAGCAGACAAGATAAACAGACCAGATGACAGAGAGCGATAAGTCTGTGATAGGAAGGTCGGGGCTGGAGGAGGGCAGGGGAGAGACCCCAAAGCTGGCCTGGAAAAGGCTTCCTGCAGGAAGGTGAGACTGGGAGGCCAAGGAGGGGGAGGGGCCTTTCACCAGAGAGAACAGCTTGAGGCCCAGGGCCTGGTATGCAGTAGGCACTCAATAAATATTTGTGAAATAAATCAGTCAATAAATGTAAGTATGCAGAAGTCACTTAGAATTGGAAGCGT